CACGTCTATACATAAAAAAAAGAGAATTCACAAAAGAAAGATCGTGCACGTAATTCACACAAGATTTGAATCAGAACAGTAACCGGCGTTCAACGCGCACCACCGCAAACGGTACAGATAATCTTACACTAGTAAATTACAACGATACGTTCCGCTGAACGATTCGAGAAGCTCTGAGGCTTCCGAAAAGGTTTGCAATTATCGGATCGCTCGGAGGGGCGCTGACGTGCCGACGCACTGGCCGTGCTCCGGTATAGGCCAATTGGAGCGCTTAGTTCAAACTATGCCGAACAGGCGCTATTAGCTTGATCTTAAGTAAAACGTCAGGACAAGGTCACCTTTAATTTTGTAAATAGAACTCCCTACTTTGCAAATTCTTGTAGCACTTCTTCAGACTTTTCAAAGCATTATAATTTTATCACTTTAAGTAAGCCGTTTCAATGTTATCGAACTTTTCATGACAAGATATCTTGCCAATCAAGGCAAGATCTAAGAAGTATACTTGGTTAACTGAAAAATCTTATGGTCTTGCCTTGGTCGGCTGGATGTACTCTTTAGATGTTGCCTTGGTTGGTTGGATCATCTTCCGATTAGGATTTCTAAGTATTCGGATATCCAGATATCAATTCGAATTTTAAAACCGGGTTATTCAGGTAACCCAGATATCAAAATTATTTCGATCCGGATCTAAATTTGGATAAAATACATCCGCTATGTATTTTTATGTTATTGTAATTTTAAAATAACACAAATTTATTTTTTGAAAAATGCATTTTAATTTATTTATTATATTTAAAACTATACTCTTTTAGCTTACACATTTTTTTACTCTCATATTTAGTTATCAAATTTAAATCCAAATTCGAATCCAAATCTGCTACAAACTTAAATTCGATTTTGAATCTTTTGTTGCAAAACCAGATTCGAATTCGAAATACAGATCCAGATCAGATACTTTTATTATTTGGGTATCTTAGAAGATTTAGGTATCCGGATAATCCGAATTTGAAGCGTCACATTTATTCGTAATCCGGATAGCGTCAAATCCGAATGAATCTTGAAGCCCTATTTCCGATCTTCTGGACTAGACATCTTATTATAAAAAACTCGACAACATTGAAACAGCTTATTTAAAATTAATAAAATTATAATGCTTTAAAAAGATCAGAAGAAGGGTTACAAGAATTTGTAATAAAAAATAGCGAGTTCTATTAAAAAATTCTAGGTGACCTTGCCGACGTCATTCAAGGTCAAACTAAGCACCAGTAAATAGATCTTTTGAAACCCGACAACTTTTATGTGAAACACTTTTTCCTACAATGCTTAGCTTTCGAGATATTTTACTGTCCCGATACTTTTTATACTCTTTGCCAAACCGGAACTTTTTGCACACCCTGTACATATCTTGAGTATTTCTAAATATCTGATTCAAGATTTTGTGACTTAAAATACGCAAGAAAACATAAAAGTAAACGTAAAAAAATACATCCGTGAGTTTTAAAGATTCACTTTTTTCTCACTTTTCTTTATTTTCTCCGCCACAGACATAATTTTCATGATCATTTTTGGATTCTACGATTCAAAGTACATGAAAATATGTACGATTTAATTGATCACCTTGCAGTTTCCAAAACCTCAATTTTACATACATACTCTTTTAGGGCGTTAAGGGGGTATTCTAATCTAGAGGCCAAATTTTTATGCTATTTTTGCAAATTAAAAAAAAAAGTATAAAGTTTTTTTGAGTTTTTTCCTACGTTTTCCTATATGTACTTATACATATTTAAAGCATGTTTCAAAATATTTGTATTTAAAAATAACTATAAATAAGCGCTGTATACAATATATACTGAGGTCATGAAAAAAAAAGATTGTTCCACGGTACCCATAATTCCGGCTGTTCTGCTCATTTAAAATGAAAAAAATTAAAAAAATTCTTAATTAGTATAAGTTTGGCTATAGCTGGTACCAGAACATAAATAAAATATTA